TATGTCTTTTAGTTTATAACTTTAGGTACAGAACCTATTGAATACCTTTCGGTATCCACACGTGAGAATCTTCCGCAATTTGAACCTCAGGGTGTTGGTCTCCAGTTTTTATTGTTTTGTATTATCAATAAATACATGTATCTAGTACCTTGTTTCTATTGACAATGAAAAAATATGATAATTAAGTGGGGGGGGGGGGGGGGGGTTGTTGTTAATAAAAGACAAGCACAAGTTAAAAATTGTTGAAGGCTTGGTGATGGCACTGTACAGGGATATAATTTACCAACTTGACATATCAATGATATGAACTATCAGTGGAATAATTACAGCTGATGATACCTTGAGTAACAGACTGATGTAGTGAAATCTTCTGAACAGTGGTAATATGGCTGCTGTTATAACCAAAGGGAGCACAGAGTAACCAATGACACCCAGACACTGGGAATAGCTAACCTAAAATAAATAATATTATTATACTTCTGTTAAAATGTTTCCTATATAAAGTTAAGAAGGTAAAATAACTATCTTTTATAGTTCACGCTTAGCAAAGCTATACCCCGGGGTATAGTTTTTGCTATCCACCCTCGGAAAATTTTCATGCAATTTTTGCCTCCAATTTTGATTTCCAGCAATAAATCTGTTGACTGATGATGTCATAATGACTTCAGTAGCATTGTGACATCATCAGGATTTCAGATTATTCTTGCAGTATTATCTTACTCCAAAAAATTCAAACCTTAGAAATTATATTATACATCAGTATAATAAAACGCTTATCCATTAGTTGTGAGTGGGATAACTCTTTTATCAAACCCTTGACAGGGACTATCCCCTCGGGCAAGCCCTCGGGGAATAGTTCCCTGTCGCGGGTTTGATAATTAAGAGCTATCCCACTCACAACCACTGGATAAGTGTATAATATACATTAAGTTCAGAACTTCATTCTTGTAATTTAGATTTACACATCATTTGAAATTTCATAGGGGCAGTTTTTTCTTCCTTCAAAGTAGGTGAGACAATGATGGAAACTTTTTTGGTACAACTTACCTCTCCTCCTAAAACTCTGGCCAACAAGAAAATGATGAGTGACCCACATATCCATATTGTTATAATCCAGGACACCACCTACAAAATAAATAAATATTTGGTAATGTTTTATTTGTGGTTTAGGGATTTAGATTTAATGCATTATAAACAATAAACTAGAACTGTGCAAATGGGACAAAATACCCCCGCTGGGTTTTTCAGAAGTAAGTTTTTCCATAAGAAAGATATGTATCAACATGAATTATGAAATTTTTCTTCCAGTGACCTTGAAGTTCCCCAAATGACCTTGGGTCAAGGTCATGACACACCCCTGGGTCATGGGCAATCTTTGTGTGAAATGAGAACCTACCAAGTTTATCCATACAAAAGATATCGATCGGACATGAATTATGACATTTTTCTTCCAGTGACCTTGAACTTCCCCAAATGACCTTGGGTCAAGGTCATGACACACCCTTGGGTCATCGGCAATCTTTGTTTGAAAGGAGAACCTACCAAGTTTATCAATAAGAAAGATATGGACCGGACATGAATTATGACATTTTTCTTCCAGTGACCTTGAACTTCCCCAAATGATCTTGGTTCAAGGTCATGACACACCCTTGGGTCATGGGCAATCTTTGTGTGAAATGAGAACCTACCAAATTCATCCATAAGAAAGATATGGACCGGACATGAATTATGAAATTTTTCTTCCAGTGACCTTGAAGTTCCCCAAATGACCTTGGGTCAAGGTCAAGACACACCCTTAGGTCATGGGCAATCTTTGTGTGGAGTAGTCGATTCTAATGTCCCTCCGTAAGAAAGATATGGACTGGACACGATTGCACAGACAGACGGACAGACAGCTAGACAGCTAGACAGCTAGACGGACGGATGGACGGACAAGGTGATTCCTATATACTCCCCCAAACTTCATTTGTGGGGGGTATAATTATGAAAAATATTGACTCCATGTATTTACCCTGAACTGTCCATACAAGGAAACAAGAGAGTAGAGCAGTATGACTACAAGGGGGCCCCAGAAATCGGGACTCTCTCTGACAACGTGGCGATTAAATCCCAGCTGTGGCAGAGGAAACAGTACACATCGTAATTTATAGTAAATGTCCTTAGGGTCAATGTCTAACTCCTCCCTACAAAAAAAAGAGATAGTTCAATCACATAGTTATTGTAAGATTTCCATAATTTGACCCCCAAAAATTGCTTTTTTTTTAATAAACTTCATAAACATGTGTTTACTGTAAAAACAATATTCAGATTATACTGCAATAATAATAATAAAGCAAGGATATTTTTGCTATCATAAAATACCATTACATCAACAATACCAAATTAATGTTAAGACATTGATTGTTCAATAATTTACAGTAATGGCTTTTGATCTTCTTCATCCAATTCCTCCTCTTCTGTCAGCCAGCCAAAGCCTTTAGACTCGAGGAATTTTGAAGCAGCTGATCTTTTTTTCACTCCGTAAGGATTTGCCATTGTTTCCCCTTCATTCTTCTGAATTGTCCCCTCCACAGGAAGTTTTTCTGTGGTAAAAAGGAAAGAAATCAAAGTTCAGTCTAATCAATAGTTTGGCCAAGTGTAATGAAGAAGAAGAAAATATCTAAAAAGTTTAGGAGGACAGTGACATCTACGAGTACAAAGATACATAGTGGAATCCACACTTTTCAAAAGTTATGTCCCTTGACCGCCATCTTAGGGGATAAACCAATAGAATCCTCATAGTACCCTTTGTAGTTTTCAGGTTTGTAACTTTGTCATTGGACTTGGGAAAAATCGTTACTGATTGCCCCATGTTGGGGCTACCCACACATCCAAGGAAAACAATTTAAACCCAGTGGATTCATCATAGCCCACCCAAATGTTTGGTAGCATAAAGAGGAGAAATGTTGTTTCTTTCCCTTTTGACCTTTTGGTTGACCCGTGAAGGGAAACAACTTTTGTAAAGTGTGGATTGGTCTATTGAATACTATTAATCAAAAGATGAATTTCCATTGTTTGAGTAGTTGTCCACTACTCAAACGTGTGGTGAAGCATGGATAAGTATGATTGCTTATCATTGTGCAGAACTATTACCAATCAATTGTCCTGTTGACCGTAAATGACCTCCTTTATAGTTTCATTCAAGAAGTAACTGTGTGGTCACTCATCAATAACATCTTACACCCCATTCATATGACATGATTTACATACCTCAGTATATTTTACACATTTATAAGTAAATTTACTCATGTGTGCAATTTTTGTTGTATGAACGGATTTACTCATATGCAAATTCTGCACAGTGGAGTAAATTTACACCTAGTCCGGACTAGGTGCAAATTAACTTTTGCATACCTTTTGTAGCAATTAGTTCATGTGTAAATTTTGTCGTATGAACACGCAGCAAATTTGCTTATGTATGTTTTCTGTTTTGTTTATTGCATAAATCTCAATTTTAAGTGTTATTTCGGTTGTGTATGCATTGGTACGTAAAATATAAGTTGGTACACATGGTGGCTAAAAGGCAACACTCTGAACAATTAGCCATTATCTCCTCCGAGATAAATTTTCGAATTTGCAAAAACGAGGGCATCTTGCACCCTTTCTGGCAAACTTTTGTTTATATCTTTAAAGATAATAATAGTTGTGGTCGCTAACAAATGCCCTGTAGGATCAATAAGTACAGTACCGGTAGTTTCCTTACTATACAAGTTGTCTCATTTGGAATGAGCTATGATAGGAACATACATTCCATCAATTGCTTGGGCCCAATTACCAATTACTTGATGACTTTCTTCTACCCTTCTCTATTTTTAGTCGAGGCAAGCTACTCGTAAATAAGTTAATGTTACAGGAATTTCAATAAACTCGTTGAAAGTAAGCATTTGTAAGTATCCTCTTTGGCACATAATCCCATAATGTCCAGGGGTTCATGTTAATTTCCTTTTCACATATTTTTATTGTTCAAAGATTTTTTGAGATCGATCACTTTTAGTTTTCTTCATCCTTTTCATTCTCCTTAAAAATATATAATTACATGACTGACGTTTTTCCCACTAATTGTTAGTCAATTGTTTATACATGTTCATTGAATTGATGATGGATTTTTTCGTTTTTTCCCGATCATGACAATGAGCACACGGTGGGTGTGACTGGTTGGCAGGAGATGCTCACTCCTCAATGGCACCTGATCCCATCTCTGATGTTTTGGAGGTCCGTGTTTGCTCTCTCCTATTTTGTATTGTTTTATGGACTTTGATATTGAATATTGTTCGTTATCTCCATATTCTTCCTGTATCATATTGAATTAAGAGGATATTTTATAATGGCCTCATACATATGATGTACTGTAGATTTTCCAACATCAAAACGATTCCAGTCGTCCTTTTTCTGCTGAAGATGTCAATCAGTAGATGGAAACAGTCATCTTTTTCTTTACATCCTACGGCTCTTACAGTAAATAAAAATCTTAATATTTTTTCTTCTTTGTGTGCAAATTCTTATACCATTCTCTGTCATTAAAACATTAACTTCCTTTTCTTTCGTACCAATATATAAATTAGTGGATCGGATTTTCACCCTAGTCTTTAAGGAACATTCAAGAGTTAGGTTTTTACCCAAACAGTAAGAAAATACACTTTTTCTATAAAAATTCACAATTTTGAATCTGTCCATCTCCTTATTTCATACGAAAATATGAGAATTTACAAACAGTACATAAATCTCGCCTGAACGCATAGCAAATTAACTTTTACTTACGTGTGTAGATTTATTTATATGTAAATTTGCCTACATAAGCAAATTTTCGTCGTATGAATGGGATATTAGACCCAAAACTTTCAGATCTTTGAGTACATCGTCTCTCAGGGAGTAGATAGAATGTTCTATCATTATAATGACAAATGTCCTACAAACCCGGTTTAACGATACCATTCTTTCCAAGTATTCAAAATGTTGCAAAATAAATATGTGCGATAACTAAAACTCAGTGCATTTACTAAGAACAATCGAGAGAGTTTCGAATGCAAACATGGCGTGTAAATTTAAAGCGAGAAAAAACTTTGAGAAAATAAGTTTAATTCTCATCTTTATTCAGATTATATTTTAGGTTCAAAGGATACACAAATGCACAACCTCAAAAAGGTTTGTTAAAATTAATTTGAAAGTTATTGTCAATGCAAATCCATTTCATTCTTCAAAATCATTTCAGAGCGATGCTATTAACTGGGAACAACTTTACTTTAAAGGTCCCCTGAAAAACGCGCTAAAATGGAGCGTCGCCGAAGGCGACTTTAGTATATATTAGTTCGTGTGAACGAACAGGGTTTTTTGGCCTTTCAACCCCAAAATCGAATTCTACGGTTAAAAGTTTAGTTTAAAACTTCGTTTTTTAACAAAGTTTTTAACCCCGTTCTTTGAAAAAAAAAAAAAATCCTTTATTCAGAAATGGAAAAAATCAACAAAGAATAATTCTGAACAAAGTGCGTGCGGCCCATGCTTTGTGCCATTTTCTTCGGACTTAGTCATTCTTCCATGTAAACAAACGAACAAAATGCCTTGAAGCTGAATTAGGATCTTGGAAAAATTAAAGAAACTGGATTTCTTAACTTATCTAAAAGAATAAGTCACTAACCCTAATCCATCAATTGGTATGCAAGGACTTAGACGTGTGAGGACTAACCCTAATCTCTCGAATGAATGCTAGACTAACCCTAATCAGTTGAAAACTAGTGCAAGGACTAACCCTAATCTCTCAGGTGGGTGCAAGACTAACCCTAATCAGTTGAATAGTGTGCAAATTTAACCCATTTCAGTTGAGTGACTAGTTGTTATGTCATAGTCCAACGAGTGCGAGGATTAGCGGATCTGGGGACCGGTAAAGTAAAGTCTACCCATTATTTGCTACATTGCGAGTATATGGGAGGTATTCTAACTGTGGTGAGGGCTTGTACGAGACACAATTAGATTATTCATACTACTCAGGGAGACGCAACTTGATGATTTTTACGTGCATTGTACAGCTGTTGTATTCAGAAGAGGTCAAAGTTGAATATTATCACTGTACTATGGTGTGAATTTTTGTACATGTTGAAAAAGTAATACATTTAAGGAAAAGTGTGATAAAATAGCTAATTCAAGCTATTCTGAATAGCTTAATTAAGCTTTGTAGATAAATCAAGCTATATAGCTTAATCAATAGGACTTGTGTACTGCTGTAACAAGTTCTTTACGGATTATTGGAAATTACCTATGGAGGCGGAAGTCTGTACGAACTGGAATTCTTCAACCGTAGGATTGTATCCTGATGTGCTTTGAGATTCGTATGACGAACTTTGTTCGGCAACATGCTGATCATAATTGTCAAAATTCACAGTGTAGTTCCCTGTCGATGATGTGGATTGTGAATGAGCCGCCATGTTTGTTGATACGAAAGTTTCGTATAAGTTCTGTATAATATATCTCCCCAAAATATTCTGTTGAAAGTGTTACAATTAATATAATAATAATTTCTCCCTTTAAAAGAGTTTTAACACATAAAAATATTAAGGGATGTTAAAAATGAGATCAAAGCAAAATTCGAAACTATGGAAAATTTTGCGGGAAATTAGATTTTGGAGAAGATGGTTTTATGAATCTTGATCAGACTTCAGAGTAACAAGAGCCTTGAAAGTAACTTAGGGATTATTGTGAGAATCAATTAAGGTAATATTAATGAAAATAAAAGACAGTTAAAAAAAGCAATATACTTATAAACAATTTTCCACACATGACATGGCCACTTTTTGTAGCATCAACTGATCAATCTGATGCTACAAAAAGTGGCCATACCATGTACTGATGTAGTTGCAAGAAATGATTTTAATATACTGCATCTTTTTTCCTATGTATTTATTGCACAGGTTAAAAATACATATATTTCCTTCAGACTGTAATCACAGTACAGGACTTATATTTCACGAAAAAGTTTTTGTTATAATATGAGGCTTATAATAGCTTGGGCACAGTTGAATGCTTCCAGAGCTAGGTTATTGTGGGAAAAATCATTTTGATAAACATGATCAATGTGCAAAATCAAAATTCAAACAAAGATCCATTTAAG